GGCCACTCCCCACGTTTTTCTTTACCGTGGGGGCCACTCCCCACGTTTTTCTGTAGCGTGGGGACCACTCCCCGTGTTTCTCTGTAGCGTGGGGACCACTCCCCGTGTTTCTCTGTAGCGTGGGGACCACTCCCCGTGTTTCTCTGTACCGTGGGGACCACTCCCCATGTTTCTCTGTAGCGTGGGGACATCTGCCTCCTACTATAATGGACCCTGATACAATGAGAACTGGAGTTTTTAATTGTTGCCAGTTTCAGAGTTTTTGTACCTTGATGTTTTCTTTCTTTATTATTAGACTACTTGTCAACTTTACTAAGATGACTAATTTACTGAAAGATACTTTACTTACATATTTACAACTGGGTGGACAGAAATGTGGGAGAGTTCATGGTCATGTCTGCAAGAAACAACATTTTACCTGGAGCAAGATGATACTTGGCCTCTATCATAAGCAATGTTTAACCAGCAGTACCTATTTTTTAAGCAAAATTCATTTTCTGATTCTAAAACTAATAGTGTTCATTGAAGAAAACTGGAAAATACGAGTAAAGGAGGGGGACGGAAGGCCTTATAACCTTACTACCCACAGACTACATCACCATTAACACTTCATTGTGTATTCTTTCAATGTTTGTATTTCCTCTGACATACGAATTTTCTTTCAGTCTAAGATAAACACATTTTTTTCAAATATACATCTGAAGTTGGGCACATTTTATAACTAATGGCTTTTGTGGTTTCACTGGCAGAATATTTTCTTAAAGGAAAATGAAATGATGTTTCTTACAGTCATTGCTATCTTATTTTCATGAAATGTGGTATGTATTTGTAACTATGCTTTAAAGACATTTTCATGTCCTAGTTCACCCAGCACCATAACATTTTTACCAAATTATGAAAAATTCCTCAAAAACTTTTTCAAGGGTGCATACTTCCTTGTATAAATACAGCACATCCTATGTAATTTCTCCCAGGAGCTGGATAGTTTATCTCCCCACCCCTTTTTTGTCTCTCTTAATTCTGCAGTGAAATTCCTTGTACATAAATCTTTATCTAGTCGCTCCTTTTTCATTTTTTTAGCTAAGGTTCCTAGACGTGAAATGACTGGATCAAGACATGAGAATATTTGTGTTGCTTTTGGTGTGTAACGCCAGGTGATTTTCCCAGTATGTCATCTAACAAGTTACAAAAAGAACGTAGTTTTTCAGAAGCTGCAGTGCTCAGCCAGGCTCCCCAGAAAGGAGATGCTCAGACCTTCACGTCTTCTTTGTCTCATTACATCTGACGTTCAATTTCAGCAAAAAGTAGATGACTGTGAACGCTGCCGGGAATTTTTCAACAAAGAAGGGCGCATAAAGGGCATGGGCTCAGCTAAGGAAGTTGTGGATGAGGATACAGATGAGGAGAAGGAAACACTCAAGAACCAGCTGAGAGAGATGGAGCTGGAACTGGCACAGACCAAGCTGCAGCTGGTGGAAGCAGAGTGTAAGATCCAGGTAACAGTCGCAGCCTCTTATTCCCAGCCAGCCCTTTGCCCCTGATGCGGGGTGGCCCAGACCTGCATGAGGGTATGATTTTCTGGGGCTAGAAACCCCAGAAATGATATTGACGGTTTGGGGGTTTTTTCCCTTTTAAACTTTGACCATAATCCTCCTGGGAGGAAGCCTGTTACTTGTTATTTACTAGTGGACGTTTAATTAGTATTTAGCCTGTCCTAAGAATTGGGCTTTCTCACAATGAGAATTATCCATCAAACTTGGAATCCTTCTGGTGGAGGAGAGAACACATGATTTGAAATTGCAGCTGCACCACCGAACTCTTTGACGTTGGGTTAGTAACCTCCTCATACTTCAGGTTCCTCATCTGCTAGTGGAGGTGATGAGGGTCACTCTGATCGTTTGCTTTGAAGACTAAAAAAGATAATGCACAGAAGGGGCTCAGCACGGTGTCTGAGGGCTTCTCAATACCAGCTTTTATGTCCCAGCTTCTGTCACTTAACCAGCTTTGTGCCTTAGGACTTATTACCTCATTTATCTGAGCCTCCTTTCCTGAAGAAACTGGGACTTATTTCGGTCATCTTTATACTCCATGGCTAGTTCCATCCGCACCGTGCTGAGCGCCGGGTAGGCAGTGAGCACGGAGCGTGGAGGAAACCAAGTTTAGGACCGAAGCTGAAGACCTGGTCTTCCTATCGCATCCACCACCTGGACACCTGCTTGCCCAGGCCCTGTTTCAGGTGCTGGCGCTGCAGAGCTAAGATGTGGCTTGGGTGACTGTCCGGGATAATTAGGAAGGACCTCACCAAGGGCGAGGTCTGTGATCAGAGTGAACAGAGGTTGCAGCTGGTGAAGGGGAGGAGCACTGAGCCAGCCGAGCGCATGGCATGTCCAGCAGCACAGAGGGAGCACAGTGGGCCTGCCCAGATTGTGAAGCATCTCACATGTCTTGCTAGCAGGTCTAGACGTCTAAGGTGCTTGCTGGAAATTAATGATGCATTCTTAGCTAGAGCGTTGGGCCTGACAGCTGGTGTGCAGTGGGTAGATGGAGGGTGAGATGCTCAGATGGGAGACTGTTTCAATAAAAAGATGAGGTCTTAACTAGGAAAGGTCCCAAAGCTTTTGGCCCTCCACATCTTTCTGTGCCAGTTTTGAGAACTGGGGAGGCGGTGGGGGGGTGGGGTTGCAGATTCCATAGGTGTCTCAGGAGACAGACCACATTTGTTGCCTTGGCTCAGCTCTGGGGAGGCAGTGTCATTTGCACAGGAGACCAGCATCCTCATGTCCACTGTTGCTCTTCCAGGACTTGGAGCACCATTTAGGCCTTGCCCTCAACGAGGTCCAGGCAGCCAAGAAGACGTGGTTTAACCGAACACTGAGCTCCATAAAGACGGCAACGGGGGTTCAAGGGAAAGAGACTTGCTGAGAACAGCTGCTGCGTCCAGACCCTTGAGAAAACATGACACCTTTTGTTGCCTTCTTTGGCCAGATGTGTGATTCTGTGACATGTCCCAGGACAGAATGTCCCTAAGTCAAATCCATAGAAGCCTGTCGGGAGGGAGGTCACTGTGGACCAGAGCCCGTGAGGCCCTCCTCACTGCTGATACTAACAGGCCCGCCGACTCGCCTGCTGCTCTGGACTCTCCGAACGTCACTCCTCTGTGTGACCTCCAGCCTCTTCCCATTAGGTCAGCTCGTTCCCAGCCCAGCGTCCGAGGTGACGTTATCAGAGTTCGGGGATCTTCAGGCTGTTGGTTTTTTTCTAAACCTTTTTTTTTTTTTTTAATACACACACACATACAAAAAAAATATATATATATATAAATATATATATATACAGGGGGACGTAGGGCAGAGGATCAGTAACGCAAGTGTCTGCTCCAGCGCTGCAGAGGGTCCTCCGGGTAGACATGGAGAAGCACTTTGTTTAAATAGGAGGGTTTCATGGTTGTAGTTGAAGCCACCTAGTTTTGTTAAACTCTACAATGCACAGGTTTTTGGTTTGGCATTATTCATGTTTCTGATCAATTCTATGCAACTCTCATAGTTTCTGTTGTTTTTATTGTTAGCTGCCAAATGACTCCACAGTGCTGGGGTGGGTGACTCAATCGACTGTGAGACTGGATTAATCATAACGTGGACAAATCTTATTTTGCTTAATGTGTCTGTGTTTGTGTGTGTGTGCGTGTGTGCGTGTGTGTGTATGTATAAATATCTTTTTCCCAATGCACCCAACTGACAGTGTTTAAATCCCAGACCAGGACTGATCTGCACAAGTTAATTATGTGGTTATTTGGGCACTTACTTCACTCAAGGTTTGTCGCGCTCTGCACTCCAACCCTGCTGTCGTGAGAGCTGTGAAGAGCACCTTCACTTCAAGGTTCCTAGTGTTTTTGCACAGCAGGTTGTACAAGTGAGAAAGACTCTGAGCTCTGTGTGTGTGTGTGTGAGAGAGAGAGTGAGTGTGTGAATGTAAGGCTGTGCAGACACACATGCCAAGAGGCCCTTGTCCGACTGGCCTGTGTCCCTGCCTGCCTGGGCCCTCCCTGGGGTGAGGCCAGCGCAAGCGTTGCTCTTCAGATGGGCTGCAAGTTCTCACTTCAAAACTATAGAATGGGGGTTTTAGCACCTTTTTTTAAAAAATAACTTTAGACTTTTAATTTATATAGTGATAACGCTGACAGGCTGTCTCGCGGATGATTCTGCCGTCTTCTCTGTGCGCAGTGTGGAGGTAGCTGGTTACAAGAGGCACTGGTTTGTATATAAAGACACTTGGGTTGTTTTTTATCTCTTTTCCTGTTGGCTGTATTAACACTTGCTGAGGTCATCGGTGATAAGGGAGGTACTGAGCGGCAACCCCTGATCCCCCAAACCGCCCCCCCCCCCCCCACGGCTCTCTGTGTCGTTCTTGTTCAGTTACCGAAACCGCTATAAGCGCATCTAAAACTAGGTGTGTGGACATTGTGCTAGGGTAGTTTCTGTGTGTCAACTCTATGAACTGAAATATAAACCAGTAAAATTGTATTACTGTTTCTTTTGTTGGTTTTATTTTAACAGCATATTCATTAAATATTTTGGTACAAACAGCATCGCTTTGTAAAACCCAGTTTTATTGTTACGTGCTCTTGCCCACTCCGCCCCCCCACCCCCGCCCCACTGTGCGCTGACAGGTGTGTGTGAGCAGCGGGCAGCGCCTCCCCCTTTGTCCATTCACTTACTGAGCAGCCGTATGCGCCAGGCCCGTGGCGGGTGAGGGGAGAAGACGCAGGCTTTGTCCCCCGGGGGCTCTGCCAGCACCTTCCTCATGAGCACTGTCCATCCTGGAGAAATGAAGTGCTGTGGTGACAGGTGAGACATGACCCATGTGCTCCAGGTCTAGGGAAGTCTCACTGGAAGTGAGGGAGTGGGAAGGCCTGGAAGATGAAAGCATCTTACCAGGCCCAGATGGAAGAGCACTACAGGCCCAGGATGTGAACGTGCAGGGCAAGCAGCCGAGGGGCAGGCATGGTCAGCACCTCTCCGGGAGAGTGTCCTTCCGATCACTGCCGGTCTTCCTACACTGCAGCCCCCCAGGAGGCGGCTCCCAGACCGGCCGTCCTTCACCACCTCACCCACTTCTCTGCAGCAGGAAGACGAGAGCAGTACTCCCCCAACCCTATGGCCCCTGCTTGCTTGACCTGCCCTCCACAACTCCCACACCAGCCTCTGGATGAAGCGGGCCGAGCTGCAGGCCCCAGAGAAGGGAATGCGGTGAGTGAGCCCTGCCCCATCTCCTCTCCACGGCCCTGATGCAGGCCTGGTTCCTGGCAAGCGGCCGGGCTGTGGCAGGCGCTCTGCAGAGGCAGGCACAAGCACTCCGGAGGACAGGTGGGAGCCCTTTGCTGCTCAAGGGCAGAGGGCACGTTTCTGGGACCCACACTGCTGGCCAACCAGGTCGAGAGTCCAGAAGGGCTGGCCTGCCCCTGGCTTTTCCCGGCCCCAGGGTCACAGTGTGAGGAGGGTAGGGGCTTACAGAAAGCATCCACCCAGCAGCTGTGCCCTGTCAGGAGAAAGGCACTTGGCCCGTCAGCCTTGGCAGACCCAAAGTGACCAGGGTCATCCCGAGAGAATGAAGGAGCTCCTCCTTTGGTGAGGGTGGGACTGGACGAAGGCCCACCCGTTGCTTTGGTGACTGGGAAACTGCTGGGGCTCAGTGGGAGGAGCTGCAGAGGTGGCAGAGTGCAGCGAGGCGCCAGACCCGGCACCCCAGGGAGCTGAAGCAGAGTGTAGGTTTCAAGCTGTGAAGGTCAGTCGGGGGAAAGGAGGGTGGTTGGAGGGAACTGTGGTGGGAAGAGCAGTGACCGTGAGACTTCGTGTTGGAAAACTGGCATCCTGGTCCTGACCGTGTGACCAGGGCTGCACTTCTTCCCTGACTGCAAGACATGAGACAGGCTGCGGTGAGCAGGCCCTGCTGAACGTGCGCAGATCTCCAGGGGCTGCTCGCTGTCTCTGCGGGGTGAAGGCAGCTCAGAACAAAAGGCAGGAGGGATCCACCGCCCAGTCTCTAGGAGTGCTGTCTCCATCTGTTCTGAACCCCGAGTCCCGGTGGCAGAAGAGTGCCATGCAGGGAGTGAAGGAAAGAAAAACCCTCTAGAACTAAGCCCAGAACAGCACACACAGCTCTGAACTGTGTGCAAGGACAGGGCTGTGCTCCCGCACACCCAGGAGCCGTGCAGAAAGAGTAAGTAGGTGCCAGGGGAGGAGTTGCCTGGACTCTCGGACCTTTTGGTTCATCTGGATGGACGTGTGGAGAGCTGTAGTGCTTCACTTGCTCAGAGAGATGCGTGATTCTCACCCTGGGATTCAGGCCGCCGCCTCAAGCTTCATTCAGAGAGTGAGGAGAAGCAGGCAGATGAGCTCAGAATGGCTCGGATGCTCAGTTCCAGAACAAAAGGACTGAGCACTGCCTACCCCTGCCCTTCCCCCGCTTCTGTAGGTGTAGGAATCTGGCCTGTAGAGAGGTTTCTGGCCTAGACCATGCGGTCTCTCAGCTCCCAGCGACCAGCAGGGCAGCTGCTTTGAGATGACCACACAGGCAGCAGGTGGTGGTAAACTCGGACCACTTCACTACAGCTGCACTGGGGCTTCCCAAGTGGCTCAGCAGGAAAGACTTTGCCTGCAATGTGGGTTTGACCCCTGGGTCGGGCAGATCCCCTGGAACAGGCAGTGGTAACCCACTCCAGTATTTTTGCCTAGAGAATCCCCATGGACAGAGGAGCCTGGTGGGCTGCAGTCCATGGGGTCACAAAGAGTCGGACACAACTGAGGCAACTGAGCACGCACACGTACACACACCTGGACCAAAAACCCTGGGTTCAAGCCAAGCCATGACCTTGGATGCTGACCTCCAGTGGGAAGGTCACGTCTCCCTCCTGAGTTCCTCTCCATCTCTGCCATGGCCTCAGCGCTCACTTCTATCTTACGTGTGCTCCTGTTAAGTTCGACCCTTCCCCTGTGTTCTCCCTCCGGTTGCTGGAACAGCCCTATTAAGTGGTGTTGTCCCCAGATTTGAAGGTGAAAGGCTTGCCCGTGGTGACAAGATCTTGGATTTCAGTGCTTTCTACCAGGTACCACCACCACCACCACCTTCTCTGGCCCAAAGCCAGGCAAACAGTGCTCCTCCTGTCACACCCTGGTTTCAGCTCATCTGGCTGTTCCTTGTGCCGGTCACGGGCGAGAGGGTGGGAGCAGGGCCCCGGGGAGAGCAGCAGCGGGCTGGCCCCCCTTCCCTTCCATGCGCCCACCCACGGCCTTCGTCCACTCACCTGGAGTGCAGCACAGGCCCTGGCCTGGCTCCCCCAAGTGCCCCCCCGCCCCCGGGCTGCCAGGCCATCTTTGTCATTCTTCTGGGGGTGAGCAGAGACCTTAGAGTTACTGGAGCAGTGACTGCAGACCCTCACACGGGGAGCAGTGGTGAGAGCTTTTTTCAAGTTGCCACCATTTAGAAGTTCTCCTTTAGGCCACTGCCTTTACCTCTCTAAGCCTTAGTGTCAGGTGGGGAACGGGTCAAGAGTAAGACTGAGGCAGGTGTGTGAGAGGCAGACGCCAAATCAAGGCAGTGGCCACAGCTTAGCACCCCCTGCACCAGCTGTGGGTCAGGCTCCGGCGGCGTAAACTTGCATCATTAGCAGAGAAGCAGTTTCAAGGACTGTAAACAGGAGTAGGGCTGAGGCCTGGCCCTCTGCAGTGAAGGGAAGGTCCTTCCTCAGGTGCTGAGCTGGAGGGTCGAGGTGGCTGTGCGCTTGACCCTTTCATCATAGCCAGAGTAAGTCCTGCACAGAAAAGTCCAGCCCAGTGCTGTTGAAGACAGAAGCTTTTATTTTTATTCATCCAAATGAGGGAAATGCAACACGTCAGGGCATTACAGACAGGCTGCAGCAGCCAGACACGGGGGCCAGTTGGTCTGGCACAGAGTCCAACACAGTCCGTGGGGGGCCGCCGTGCGGGCGCTGCCTGTGGGGGTCGGGGCGCAGAGGGTCCCTGTGATGACGGCCAGGCGTCTCTGGGCGAGGCACTGGAGCCAGTCCGCACGTGCAGGCTGTTGCCTCAGCCTTACCGCTCAGAGTCCTACATGTCCTCACCGCCCCGGAGCGGGGCAATCCACGCTGCTCGCATTCGCCGGTGTGTTTTTTAATATAATACACAACATAGTTATTGCCAAGGACTTTGCACTGCAGTAATACTATGTACACTTGCGTATTCAGAAAAAAAAAAAAAAACAGTAAATAGATAACACAGGTATTTTAAATAGATTTCTTAAGAGCTATCTTGGCCATCACCAGACCAGAGTGAGAGCAAGTTAGCCAAAGTTCGATGTCCTCTGGGTAACTGTGCAGTAAGCCAGAAGTGCTTTCTAGCCACAACTCCATGCAGCACTGCCTGAACCCCCGTCCTGGGGCTGAGGGAGGCCTAAGACTGAGCAGGACCCCTTCCTCCTCTGTACGGGACAGACACCCCTTCAACAGCTCAGGGCTTCAGGTCTAGACTGACTGCCTCCTTCCCAGTGAATTCTGCTCAGAATGGATGAGAAGCAAGTCTCAGCGGCCACCATCCGGGAACCCTACTACACGGCAGGTGGACCAGGTGCCGGGACTGTGGGGCCAACAGGCCAGCCCCCCCGCCCCCGGCCCACCTGCCTCCTGCACACGCCGTGGCCCTACCGAGGGCCCTTCAGGAGACCCGCCTTTCCCTCAACGTGTGGCTGGACCCCAGCCAGCCACGTGGAGAAAGAGTAAGCACAGCTGGGCCACACGGTCCCTAGTCAACGGAGCTCCCAGGTACTGAGGGGACAACAGGCTCCACCACTGCTGAGAGCCACAGTAAATGACGTCTGCCTGAGGCAGGTGGCTCACGACTCATTCAGACATCATGAGAGACAGAGGAGCCGCCAGACCAAGCATTCCCTCTGCGGCCTCAAGACCCTGGAAAGGAAGTCTGCCTGGAGGCTGACAACAGGTCATGAAACATCCAGAACCACCCTGATCCCTGGGACATGTAGAAAGGCCCCTGCCACCTGAGGAGCCACCACAGTAAGTGAACAAGGGGACCAGTGGTACACAGTGTCCACAGCACACCCCTACTTTGCAGAGAGAACCCCACCGCACCACATAGGGCTGGCCTGGCAGGTGAAAGAAGAGGTATTTCAGGAACCTGACTGAACTCCCAATTGTCCCTCACGCATGGCCCATCATCACAACCTGTGCATCAGGGCCACAGCTGAGGGAGCTGGTGAGGTGAAGAGTCGAAGAGGCTCAAAGGTGCAATGTGAACAAGGAAAGGAGTGTAAGCTTAACCACAACTTAAGCCTGAGGGTGTCTGTGAGGAGAGGCGCTCACGCCATCCTGAAGGGAGCGGGGAAGAGGCTGGATACTGGGAATTAGGTGCAGCGTCCTTGATAATACAGTGCAAGTGGAGAAGTCTTCTAGCTGTCGATGACTCATTTCCCTCAACACAAATTTTAAAAAGTCTTCCCAGAACAAATAATAGATTCAAAAAAGAACTTTATACCATCATCTGTTTCCCTATGCAGGAAAATGAGACAGATAGCATCAAGCTTAGGAGGGTGACTCCACAAGAGTCTGGGTCCCCCGACACAAGTAAGCCTCCCTGTGAGGCCAGAGCTGCCATGCAAGGATATGGCTGGTACCCCAGCCAGCTGCACCTCCGGAAGATACAAGCCACAGGCGTTGGAGGGAGGGAGTTACACACGTACTGGCATCCCAGCAGCCCCACCAGGAGCCAGGTGGGCCCAGCAACAGCAGCGTGTGCGCCCTGGAGCCATGGCTTCTCAGCGACTCTATGTCCACCACCCTCACCTGATGCCACAAGCTCACTCAAGCAGGCACCAGTTCCCCACCAGTATTAGGCCCTTCCCACATCTGCCCAGCAGCTCAGGCAGCACCAAACCCCTCACCTGCTGGCTCCGTCCCCAGAGGACCCACAGGCCACGTGAGGCCGGCCGCATCCACTCCCAGCTGGGGGCCTTCTCTCCTGAGCTGCACGGGAGCCTCACCCACTCCCACAGGCATCCGCACAGGCGCTCGTGCGCTCCTGAAGCCAGCACCCTCCTGACTTCCATCCACCTCACAGGAGAATGCTGGCAGCTCACAGCCCTGAACTTCACCTCTCGGTGCTCAGTCAACAGCTGTGCCCTTCGTTTGCCTAGAAACATCTCTGAGGGAAAATACTGTGGAGAGTAGAAAAAACTTGGTTTCTTTTCATTGCCCCAAATTCACAGAGCACCTTGGGGCTGGCACCGTGTCTGATTCACAGTCATCCCTGGCATCTGGGATGCACCTGAGCAGCGACTGCTCCAGCCTGTGCATCCTGCCTCAGCAGTTCACAGGCTTCTCCCTCCCTCTCCTGCATAAAGCTTTCTTGCCAGGTGACTCCATTCTGAGGCGAGGGAAGCCCATCCATAGCATTTTTCACCCTCGTACACCACGGCCCTCAGCCAGCATTAGACCTGAGACAAGGTTTAATTTATGTTGCCCTTGTAAGGGACTTCTGAATAGCAAGAGAGAAGCAGCACAAAGGTGGCTGACTTGGCCATGTCATAAACCGGGTCCCTAATGCCACCGAGAGTCAGAAAAGCTATCTGACTCGCAGGCCTCCCTTTCCCACTAGAGTTCCAACATGGTAAGCAAACTGGGCAAAAGTCCAGATTGAACTGAAAGATACCACCTGTAACAAGCCTAATCTTCTCTAAGCAGAAGATCTTTCCAAAACATGTCTGTGATCACATGACCATCCTGAGCACAACCTCCACACTGGCTCCCAGGCACCCTTAGTTCACAGGTTCCTCTCTCGAGCTAGTTCACCGTGGCTTTCCGTTTCAGCACCTGCTTCCCAAACAGGACCCACCTCTCCCTCAAAACCTGAGGTCCTTCTGGGCAAGAGCTGCACACCTGACAGACAAGCAGGAAGCCCTGTGGGAAGACGGATGGGTCCAGGCAGCAGATGTGAGGAAGCCTCCAGTCATGATTACGCCAGAGGGACTGGAAAAGTGTGGCCCACAACTGTCTGTACACTGCTCAGCTGTTATGGCAGCGCCGAGCGGCCATGACCACCAAACAGGCCACACAGCCTGAATGATTTACCGACACCAGGCCTAGGGCAGTGTCCACGTCGTGACACATTGAAAGGTGATATGTGTGCAGAGGCGGCCCATTGGGCTGAACAGAAACTCCTGAACATCCCAAGGGCTTGATGGGCTGTGTCTCAGTGAACCTCGACCTTTAGAGCTTTGACTGAAGTGCTCAAACCACCGCTGCCTCTTTAGCCCTCGTCCCCAGCAGGGCTATAGAACTGCAGACGTGCAGAAGCACCACCCGCTTCCCACCACTCCCTTCCTCTGAGCTCCCTGGCCACCTGGGCAGAATGAGAACAAAACAGGCCCAAAGCAGATTTACTAGTAATCTTAACAGTCCCGCCTTTTTCTCCTTAAAGTACTTGTAGAACAAGTGCATACCTCCTTTTTCTACAGATGTTGAATCCAAGGGACTCCACCTCTTGCCAGGTGAAGAGGCCAAAACTACTTGAAACAGCAGAAGCCTCTGTACCAATGACCATCCAGTACCTGCCACTCCCTTGACTGGCAAACTCTGGCTGGCTACAAACCTCTCCATCCATCACCAAAAAGATTCCCAGAGAGCACAGGAGGGGCACGGGGCGCCAGGCCCACCAGACGCCCACTTCCTGGCCCAATGGAGGCAGTCCCTGCCGCCCCCCATTCCTATATTAGTCTCAGGCACCACTGTCGTCCGTCACCTACTGAACAGGAGCCCCCAGTCCCCTTGCTGGGTGTGGGTTCCTGTGGTTCCCTGGCCCCACCGCCTCCAGTTCAACCCAGGCAAGGAGCCTGGACATGGAGAAACGCCCTCCCTGCCTCTCAACCCCCAGCTGCCTCCTTCGGCCAGCTGTCCAAACTGACTCCCCCGAGTCGTCTCACCGTCCTGGAGGGTGGCCATCACTGAGGCACAGCACCTGAGGCCTTTCACGGAGGCGCCCCAAACTGCACACCCATGTGCCATTTCACCTTCCAACCATCCCAGTTCCCAGCAACAAGCACCTCCATGCTGTCCCTTCTGCACACACCACACCCCTCTCCTCGAGACCCCACTGGGCCAACCCCTACCCAGTGGATGCCCTTCTCTGCGGGAAGCCTTGGCCACATCCCTGGAGCCCCTCACTCTCCAAGTCCCTCAGTTCTCAGTCTGCACAGGCCTGGCTCTGCTCCTGGATGGAGTGGGAGTCCCTCTCACAAGCATCCCCCTGCTTCCTGGGCTCCTTGGTTGGGTTTCACCTTCTCGGCTGTCTAAGCTGAAAATCCTGACATTTTCTTCAGCTGCTCCTTCTGCCCCAGCACAGTTTGATTAGGAGGAGGAAGTGACCGTGGATGTTTCCAGTATATCCATGTGCCTAGGATGGGAGCCGTGGTCCTGGGAGGGGCAACAGTCTCATCAGCCTTCCGTGCTGACTATGCTGAGGACTGGGCTACACGTAGCCAGGAGACCAGGACTGTGTGGGCAAGCCAGTGGTGTGAGCTGTCAGTTTGCACAGAACACGGGTGTGGTCGGTGACACTCCCAAGACCACTTCTCCCCTCTTGAGCACATGCATTTATTGGAAACACTCACTGCCACCTTAACTGCCCTACTGCTGTACTAGAACCACCTATCCCTTTCTGGACCCACATACAACAAGTAAATAGAACTCGTCAGAATACCTGGCAGAAAGGTCCACAGTGTCTCCAAGTCTGCCCTTCACCAGCCTCACCTCTCGTGAGGTTCTCTGCACTTTCCTGAGCTCCCCAGGTGCCACCTTCCAGGTGCTGTGGAAGGAGGGACTCCCCTCCAGGGTGATGGCACAGCCACCATACTTCCCATAATGCTGCCTCCACAAATGTCAGAGAGCTGAGCAACTTCTGAGGTCAGCCACAGGCTGGAAGGGCCCAGTGAGACCCTGGCCCCAGAACGCTGGAAAGGTGACTGAGGATGACCCCTTCAGTTAGAGCAGCAGAGAAGGCCTCACCAGAAACAGGACTACAGACAACCAGAACGTGGATGAAGCGCGACACAGAAAAAACACCTTTCAACAGCACATCCTTTCCCCTCATCCAATGCCCGGGCACTCTCCAGTGGTGGGCACTGGTTTGCACTTCATCACAGGGTTCTGTTATGGTACAAAAAGTTCGTCTGTGGAAACAGCGATGCAGCTGACAAAATGATGATGACAAGCAGGCCGCCTGGCCCAAGGATGGGCAGTCAGTACCCTGCCCAGGAGCCAGCTGACACGTCTGAGCAGCAAGAGAACAAATCTGAAGTCTGCTTTCCTTCTTTTCCCCGGGTGGGGAGGGGGAGGGAGTCAGGGAGAGCAAGGTTGTGTTTTGTCTCAAGCTACACAGGATATATTCCAGAAGTGTGGAAGAAAGGTAAGTAGGATGAGTGCATCATAAACAGGAGAGGAAACTGTTGCCAAATGGTATTGGAAAATAGGACAAGCAGCAGACTAGGCTGCCAACACCAACCGCTAGTGTGAGCACAGTGCTTTCGGAATGGGTGGCCTGGGCCACTTACTAGCTATGTAATTTTGGGCAGGTCGTTTTGTGTAAGCCTCTATTTCCTCATCTGTCAAAGGAGAGAACTAGATCCCACAGCTGTGGTGGTGTTCAAATCTCCAAAGAAAAGGCTTCTGTGAACTCTAAAAACAGAAGAAATAATATTGCTTCCATGCGGTCAAAAACTCACTTATTAGGAGCCACAATGTTTTGCCACAAATAAGCTAGGTGGTTTTCAGAGTCTCTTGGCTTCAGTTTTCTTGTCTGTGGAAGGGGAACCACACCCCCGCGCTGCTGCTGCTCTGAGCGGGACCATCAGGGCAGGGCGTGGCGACAGCCCGGACTGGGCTCTGCTGCTGCTCCACACACGGGGGCCAGTCCTTCCACAGGCCGCAGCTCGGCGACTCCTGCAAGCTGGGCTTACGAGAAGGTTCATCTCTCTGATCCCCTCCAGGATTATGGCTCATGGCTCAGAAAAATAGCCAGCTGTCAAGGATGGCAGTGACCTGGGGTCAGGGAAGACTCTCTCCCTGAAGAGGATTCTGTATCCATCCCCACACCCCCCTGACCCTGAGCAGAGACCCAGTCGGCACTGACCTGCTGAGGCGCTAGTGAGGGGCCCATGGCCTTCCCTGAAGCCATCCAGGGGCCCCTCCTGGCTGGCAAAACAGGCCGCTGCAACCTGCCCCCGCCCCCATCTCTGCCCAGCACCTGCCCAGGGCCACCTCTCTGCCCCAATGAGCCACACCTCGCCAGCTCTCCTTAAGAGTTTGGTTCCTACAGCCCCACCTCCAGTCTCAGGCCAGACAGCATGTACTCAGAAAGCATTAGCTGAATGAAAACATACACCTCAATTTCTCACTACTATTCAAACAGAAAAACCAGCCTCAAGTACAAAAGTTTCCTGTTCATATAGCCACACCTCAGCCTTCCAATCTATCTTTCCAGTTTGTTGATCTTTTCCAGTTACTCTAAAAGAAAATAGCCCTATTTTCAGCCAGGATACTGGTCTAAAATGACCTCAAGTTAAAGCCTAAATGCCAGCACAGGTCCAAGGATTGGCCTGAGCCTGTGAGCTCCAGCGACCCTCTGACAGTGAGGCCCTGGCTCGCGCTCACCCCTTCATGGGCCCCACCTGGCCCTGCCTCGCTGCCCACTCACCGCCGTCCGGTCACGCCGTGCGCCTTCCCACCTGCTTTTAATCCACAGCGCGGAGCTGCAGAAAAGGCACTGGCACTTAAAGCATCTGGTTTCAGTCTTGACTCTAGCCCTTCACTCTGAGCCTCAGTTTTTTTCATCTGTAAATTATACCACCTTGAAGAGGGCTGAGAAGTGAGGAAAATGTCCAAGTGCCTGGCACACACAAGACACCAATTTTAGCATCTTTCCCCCTGCTCTCCTTTCTTCCATCCACTGCTGCCCAGAGGCCCCCCAAATGAACTGACCTGAGGGCTGCCATTAACTACTTGGGACATTCAACTAACATGTGAATGCAGAGACTATTCTTCCATACGGCACAAAAGAATCAAGAGAAACTGAAACAGAAACCAGGCGCCTAGGCGCTAAGAGAACACTCTCCCGGCAGTGGCTCGTTCCCTCACCTCCTTGGGGCCGTAAGCAGCGAAAAGATGACTCGGGACCA